CATGTGACTAAAGTATCACGTGATACTGGCAACAAATACCTATCGTCTAAATAATTTACATTTTCTATTTTAACAGAAGTGAATCGATCAATCCATGTACCCGAAATGAACGATTGTGAGTAGGCGGCTGGGTTATTCATCTCATAAATTAAAAATAGCGCCAATGGAAAAAAGTTAATTATATGTCATTTACACCACATGCTTACATCACTTAGACACATTGTGCTGAGAATCCATCCAATCAATGGAAAAGTGGCAAGACTTATAACAAAATGAAGAACATAATAGTTAGTACTTTAGTTAAAAAAGTCTTAAGAAGCCTAAAGAGGGAGAAATACTACTACTTTCAACTAAGCAGCATGAGTTAAAAATTAGTGCATCACTGTCCACATACAGTCAGTAATATTCTCAGACATTTATCACAAATTAAACGACGCCTAAGCATGATGTAGAGGCGCGGGGAGGGCGAATTTAATCGATACTACAAACTTCATACAGTTTATAATTGTGCATGATGCTAAGTGAGAACAATTGAAGATGTACAAAGTATTGAAATGTCTACTAAGGCCGAATTTTCCACCATTCAGTCCAGGAACGTTTTAATCTTTATGCAAGTAGACACTGATCTTCATACACATAGCGTTTTAATCTGTCGTTGACACCTGATGTTGGGGTATGCCGCGCCCCCCAAAAGAACACGTTTCCTGTTGTTCAGATCTTATTAGCATAGAACATCAAGAAAAAGAGGAACTATAGTGCACAATAGTATTGTGTCGTTCAGCTCAGTAACCAGAATGCACAAATGACCAAACATCTGGTGATCATTTAGTTTAAATAATGAGTATACCGAAGAAAGAGTTCGAAAACATAAAATTTACAAGAGAACAGGACTCCATAAACAATATTCTGTTATGAAGCGTCTTGGTCAACCGAATAAACACCGGAAAATAACAGACCTAAATATACCAAAAATCACTTCATGCAGAGTAAACACTTAAATACAATAGCAACAACCCAACAAAACACAGAAGGAGAGTTGTAAATAAACATTAGTCGAAACAGCTAGGAAACACTACAGCACTTCTGCCTTGGGGAGAGTAGTGGAGAAGTACCTAATGACACTCTTCCCGAAAAGTGGATTTCCACGAAACTGTAACAATAATTACCTACCCTCAATTCAACTGACCAATTCAAAATCATCTAGTAAAAGCATAAGGAAAATCATCCTACCATATATGAAGAATATCTCTGAAATCCTTGCAAAACTGAAGAAACTTTTCTGGAATAGATGTCATTGGAAAACAAAAAATCATTTCAACCTATAGTATATATGTCAACCATAAGACGCGGCAGCAAAAAAAAAGACATAAACAACATCATCAGTAAGATAATCTGAAACAATTATGAAAAACATTGTAATGAACATGATAGACATCCTTTCCGTCTTCGCATTCAGGAAGACAAACTAGTTGTCAAAAAATATGATATTGGTTCTTTCATATCAATGCATACAGACAACTACGGACACTAAGTCGACTACCAGGGGATTCCTAGAAACTTGACACTCAGATGAATCTGCAGTCAACACACACATTGACAAAAAAGTATCAAATAAAAAATGAAGTCACGTGAACAAAATATCAACCATCAAGTTAACAAAAGATAACTGGTATAAGTGGATGAGACACTGATAAAGCCTCTGGAAATAACCAATCCCTTTCAAAGTTACCAAATGAGATGGCTAATGAACCCATGGAGAGTTCTAAAAGTTTATACCATACTGAAGCTGAAACTGTGTTGCCTAGAAAGGCAATAAAAGATTCACAAATAAGCTATCCAGCCTAGAGAACGCAAACACACCAAAAACATCCCGACCTTAACTACAAATCCTTTCCATCACTTCTGATTCACAAAATACATGAATGTATTTACTCATAGAACGGTAACGGGTCTCCATCCGGTCCCAGACTCGCGGCACCGAACTGTTGCAGTATCATCTGTCTCTCCATCGGACTGTCGAACTCCGAAAACAATCAACAGCTTTCCAGGTCTCTCTCCCACCTGACCGCCTCACACTGTCGTACACCGTCTTTCCTCGACCGCCTTCGCCATGGGACCCTAGAGGCCCATCGACTTGGTAGAGGGATGCCTATTCAGAAATTGGTATAACCAAATTATGTAAGCCTTATCTCCAACGCACAATTTCCACAGATCTTCGTGCTGTGGTACTTCTGGCTTTCTTATTGTGTTTCTTTGTGTTCCTGTCACGTCTCGCATGTGTTTCCGGTAAGTTCTATCATTTGCCTTCTCTGACATCAAATGTATTTCCCTGCTAATTGGTATTTTTATGGCAATGAAGGTCTCCTTATATACTACTGATAAATCTTATCAGTAGCACTCACCAAAGAACAGCAAAACTACAAGTTCAATATATATATATATATATATATATATATATATATATATATATATATATATATATATATATATCACTCACATGGTGAGAAAAATTGATTGTACTCACTCAGGTGATTGTTTTTTATCAAAACTTCAATGAGTCATTGTTTGGACATATCGTGAAGCATCAATATGAAGGCGATTGTCACATGTAGTAGTTCATTAGAAAGTTTATTTTAACTGTATGAATTTAATAAACGTGTGACATTATGTTACTCAGTGGAAACAGTCTTGATTTATTTAAAAGACGTAAGTAAAATTTTGTAGTCTGCATTAGATATGAATATTCACAGGTTCTATAATTCATACAAGTATTGTACGTCAGTGGTAGAATGCTCGTCAACAACACAAGTCGGTGAATTTGAAGTATCATAGACAAAGTCTTTCAAAACATGACCTTCAAGGACCAATCAGTTACAGAGGATGCTATGAAAAGTCATTCCAAATCAAATAATGCCTGTCTTTTTAAACTTGAAGAGAATAGACACAGTATTCTACTTATTTACTAGGTACCTTTTCTGCAAATCTATACTGTTAGGCAGGGTTATGGTTAGAGTTAAAGGTAGATTGAAAAAAGTGTCATAAATACCAATGGACCTCAAGTTACCATGACCTATAGTCACCTGGATGAATGGACATATCGCGCATGGTACAAGTTCTCCACAGAACATCTATGTAGTGACTGGGAGACATTCTTACAACACATAACCTACAACCATTGAGTGTAAAATCCCGTTTGCACTTATTTTTCAGTGTATTTTTCAACGATTACGCGTCTTTTTCGTAGCTGAACTCCGATTGGCAGTCGAAAGTCATTGGGATTTTGGCTACGATAGTTTAACTTTGCCTACAAGTCGTCGGCATTCGATTCCTAGTCAACGCGCTTCTAAAATGAGACTAACAACGCTACCAGTAATGCTAAAACTCCAAAAGTTTTAAAACCTATGCTACACTTGAAATACACGGAATGGAAAAGTCAATCCCAGAAAAAATTGATACACTTTAGTGAAATGGTCTTAAGCATATTGGATTTGTCACGGTGTGAATCTGATGAGAACTGAACAAGTATGACAAAACTAGGTCTCGGAGTGTGCATCGGAAGTCCCGCGTGACTGATGACTATTCTACCAGTGAATCAGAAATATTTCCAATAACATCAGGGCCAAACAACAACTTATGACTTATATTCATCGGAATTTTCAAAACGTTGAAGTAAAACAGTCTCTAAAACTGAATAAATGAAATTTTTCCCTACCTACAGAATTCCAACCAAGCACCATCAACGGGAGAGATTTGAAAGAGGTTACTTCATCCATTCACTTATCTAGGGAGCATTGTCTCAACTACAGGAAGTCGGAACGGATGAGGATGTCAAATCGACAATCAACCTGAAACCAATCTGGAAATCTTCGTCACTCAGCCAGCATCAACAACAAAATTCGGATTTTCAATACAAACGTCAAGTCAGTTCTTCTATATGGATCAGAAACTTGGCGGGTCGGTCACAAAGAATATTTCCAACAGCCTGTTGCAGACCTTTATTAACAACTGTCTTCGCTCTATATTGAAAATCAGATGGCCGGAAAGAATCACTAACAAGAAACTATGGGAGCAAACAAAACAAGAAGCAATCGCCCAACAAATATGCATTGGGTATATGATGTTCATTATAATGAAGGTTTTTGTATTTCCCAATGAATGAAAAACGAACCAATATTGTTTTTACTGACGTTTCGCTATTTAATGTTAACAGCTTTATCAAAGCATTATTAAACTAGAATTTACAAAATCTCAGCATATATATAACAAAGAGTTAGGGGTGATAAAACAGACTTAGGTCAAGTTAAAGGGACAAATGGAAATATTTATTTAAATATCTAGTCAATTCCACACATGTATATAAATGAAGGAAAAAGTTGTGCGAGTAATAATTTGCGCTCGAAACGTCATTAGTTAATATTACTGTGTAACACTGTGTAACTTATCAAAAATAAAATCTTATCCATAAGGAACAACAACAAATATCCAGGAGAAAGTGGAGATGGATTGGACACTCGCTGAGGAGGCCACTGGGTGACATCGCGCGTCAAGCCCTCGAGTGGAACCAGAAAGGGAAGCGGCGAGTGGGACGTCAGTCAAAGGGTGACATGGAGGAGATCGTGTGAAGAGGAGTTGAAACAGTATGGACTAAGATGCATAGATGCAGGTGAAAAGTACAGCAGAAGGCAGAAGCAAGTGAAGAGGTGCAGTTGAAGCCCTATGTTCCACTAGGAACCCAAGAAGTCCAAAGAAAGTAGGATGTGAATATGACAAATTCCTTTATGATTAGGATTAAACCAAATGAGCAGCTGTGGGTGTGATACTTAGTGCCGACACACGAAATCTATACAAGTATATCGCTTTGTACGCACATAAAATGAATGAATGAATCAATGAATGAATGAAAGAGTGAGAGTGAGTGAAGTTCATCTAAACGCAAAGATCAATATATTCGTAGTAGAAACTACTACTAAAATTGCCTAAAAATGATTACTTTTACTTACTACCAAAAGATCAGTTCTCTTCTGTGATCCAGATTTTCGAAAAAGACCCTAAAATTTAAAAAAAAGACAATACACAGAAGAATTATGAAGGCGTTAGGAAACACGACATACGAAGCTAATCATCATTACAAGGCAAAACAAAAAAAAAACAGAAAGATGACTGAGATTAATTCCCGTAGTTCGCTAAAGAATTGGATGAGATACAGATCTCTGCCTTGAAGTCACACTGAATTCGACAACTACTACGCTGAGCTTAGGGATGAGTGATGCCAGTATATTCATCACAATATCATAATCAAGATAACCAAGAGTCATGGTGAGAGAGAGTCGTGTATTACAGCCGCACGATCCTTGGCCTTTTATTAGTTTTCTAACAGATATCTATTTGTAACAGAGTGTGTAGTGACACAAATTAACTGCCGCGAACTCAATATTTGAGAGTAAAATCTAAAAGTTTAGATATGATGAGTTTAAAAAATGCGAACAACATCACGAATTACATAAAGTAACAAAACATCTTATGGAATGTATTCACTGGTAAAAAGTATGTAACATTAGCAAAAATGAGATCATTAGGCCAATATACATGTAAGTATGCAAAATATTCTGTACAAATGAGACAGTGTCACAGCAAATAGGACTAATCTAATAATGATTATTACTCATAGACAAAATAACACGGGTTTTTATACACAGATACAAGAAAAAGGCGAATGATATTACTCAGTTTGTGTATAGATTAAGACGATAAAGGCTACAAAGAAAAAAGGGATAGCTGAACTCCCGTAATCTAATTATGAACAGATGATGGTGTTGAAGGAACAATCGTTATCCACTTGGCTTCAAAATATATGCATAATAAGAATGTTACATAGGGAGGCATAAATGCTGTGCAATTAAGAGAATATGATATTAAAGTTGACCACAGATTTTTTACATAATAAAGGCTACTATTCAGTGAAATTAATGAAAAGTAACATAGGGAAAGAGACATGCTGGAGCGAACAGATCAGTAGGAACTAATACTTTGACCCTAGTGGTGTTTTAGACAAGGTAGTGATGAATTATAGAGTAGAATAAATAAAATTGCTAGTTATTATTATATGCGAAGCCGAGATAGTTTCGTTTGCCTGGTGTCGATCAATGATTATAATTACAACACAATCAGTCTGACTAACATGGTACCTATGATTCTAAGCCCCAAATTCTAGCGGAAACTAAACCAGAATCGGGGAAAACAAACTAGTGAAACAGCACAGCATCAAGGCCGCAAGAACAGGATGCAATGATAGAAGCTCGACCGTCTAACAGTTTCTAAAACACAGATACACACTCAAAAGTGTCCAACATGCGTCATCTCTCTTGATCTGTAAAAGGTATTCGATGTGATCGACTGAGAGGTGCTGCGAATGCAGTGTCAAGAAATTGTTCAAATTGGAAGTATTATAACCAACGCTCTTTGTAGTCGTGTTACAGCGTACACAAAAATTTCTTTTCGTGAAACTGACCGAAGCATTTGTGATTTTGTTCTGTTCAGACTTACACAGAATGATGGATCATGTAAAGTGACGACGATTAGTGGTGTCCGTATGTGACACTTCATTCAACCGTCAACATTTAATTTTATTGTAAACATACTGATGAATGGGACTATGGTTAATTTTGATGTTTTAGGAACTAACTTGCTAGGAGGAGATGAGAGCTTATGTTGAAACGTGGACCCAGATGAAGAGGATGGCAGAAAATAGAACAGAGTGGAGATGTTAGATGGTTGGAGGCAATCGGCAGGAGGCTTTGGACCTAGATTTCGTGCTAGTTGGTACTCGTCAACAAGGCGTATCTGAAATATTGAAGGAACTCATGTCCCTTCTGGGATTCGAACCCAGGTCACCCAGTGCTGCAGTCAGAGACGTTACCACTGAGCTATTCAGTCCCGCGATTGACCTCCTGTAGGACTGTAGTGGATATTTTGATTTGACACTAGTAACTAGTGTGATGCATCTAGTCCTCTGGTTGGTGTAGACTGAATTCTATCAGTCAGGTTGTAATGTGACCACCATTCTAGCTAGCTCGCCATCACGGTGCACATTGATTTGATGGTATTAGATGGTTGGAGGCAATCGGCAGGAAGCCTTGGACCTAGGTTACGTGCTAGCTAGAATGGTGGTCACATTACAACCTGACTGATAGAATTCAGTGTACACCAATCAGAGGACTAGACGCATCACACTAGTTACTAGTGTCAAATCAGAGTGGAGATGTGTTGTTGAAGCCCTGTGTTTCTACTTGAAACCTATAGGAATTCTAATAATGATATAATACTCAAACTGTATACTTCCTTTAGTTGAAAAATCCTGAAAAAAATGCAAAGTATTTTGAATAACATCCGCAGATATTTGAGTACGTTTGATGCACAGTCTGCTTGTATAAAATACAAGATGATGCTAAAGGAATGTAGCTATTCACTTCGTCTTACTTTGCGGTTTTGAAACATATTCGCTGGAAGTAAAAGATGTCAAAGGGCCAAAGGTTTTTGGCCACAATTATCCTTATTCAGCTGCATGTATCAGATAACTCAACACAATTATTAATAGTAATGAGACTAAGTGTATAGTGTTGAGTAGTTGTCATATAAAACTTGTCTATTGAAGTGACCAGGACATGCCTTAAATGTGCTAAGCCAGTACCTTCTTCTTCGAGGAGGAAGAAAATTAACTGACTTAAAAATGGTGAGAAAGTGAAAACGACTTCACACGATGAAGTTATTGTCTATTGGTTGGAGTCAAGTAGGCAGTATCTGAACACTCCTTGGCGAAATGATTCAGAATCATTCACAGTAATGTAGATGTATTCAAACTCTGTTATCCTCCATAATCAAGAGGGCTTCAGTGGTCATTATCTAATTATTCTTCCTCTCATGTATCCTTGTCCACTACAGTTTTATCACCTTTCTTTTCCCGGATTTTGTATGCTTTCTGGAAGTTTGGCGAGTTTAGCTGATATTCTACACTGTTTCGCCAAACAGTCAGTAAAGAAGCCAATATCTCTCAAACTTCTTCATGCAAATGTGTTTCGTCTAAACGCATAGAATTCATAGTTTATTCCCAATTGAACAGATTGTTATTCCCTAAAGTTCCGAGTGCATTACACTCGCTTCTCTGACATCGAATTCAACTGCCTCCACGACCACCTACAAGCTTTCATTTCTAACTTACATAATCTCCACCAAGTCACCTTTGGACGCTTAACTCATTGTCTCCTATTTGTGTTCCTGTCGACAATCAATCTGGCATGTGATGTCACTCACTGGTCTCCTCAGAGTATTTATACGACACCTCTCCATCCCCTTCTGCATACTTGTGTTTAAGTGATAGGTAGGCAGGCTGGTTCGCTGTCTTCCGGAATTCCTTATCGCTTGCTCATGATTACTGGCCAGTAATTTTATCTTTAATATCGATCGTAGGCAAGCGTTGACGATAGTCTGCTATAAAAACCTGTTGGAAAAGCTTTCAGATAGCACAAGTTGACAATTTACACTTGTACATTAATTCTCACACTATGATACCAGAAAATGTCTTCACTCTTTCCATAAACAAAGAAATAAGACATTGAAATATCAAATATCAATATTATGTGTATATATACATAGATCTCTTTTCTTTCATGCCTTCTTTGATGAAGTGTGTGTACATTTCAAACTGCTTCTGATAATTTATAAATTCATGTGTTGTTTATTGAAGAATGTATAATGAATGACCTTAGTGAAGAATTGACTCAAGTTGTGTGTAGTTGTTACTAATGCATTAGATAAAAGATTAATGAGAATTCTAAGGATGAATGAATACCTTAACATGCAAACAATTGAGCGCGCGTGCACACACACATACATGTGCACATAAAGTTTTTGACATTATTTTAGACATTCATTAATCGATAGATACTACTAAGTGGTAAAGTGTAGAGCAGATGTGAGACGTTAGAGCTGAATAACTAACGAACAGTTAAATAGTTAAACAAAAAGAAACACAACGCATAAACCAGAATGCAAGAGTGTTGCATAATATGAATGCATATAGATGACTGTTGTTGAACAACTGGTAACAACAAATAATTCAATCAAGCAAGCATATTCTAAATTTGCCCTGAATTTGTATTAGACAGTTAAAGGCAATCAGTAAGAAACCCTGCATCGTGGTTTAGTGCTTGTGGGCACTCGTCAGCAAGGTTTATCACCAAATTTCAAGGGAAATGATGTCACCTTCGAGACTAGAACTCGCGTTACCAATGAGTTACTTGATATCATTAATGACCGGCTGTGGTGGATACACTGATCGGTCACAGGAAGTAACCAGTGTTATGCGTTTGCTACTGTGTTGATGCTAACTGAATTCTATCAGTCAAGTTTGGAATATTTTCAAGAATCTAGGTGTAAGACAATGGGAGACATTCCACAGGATGTTTCCCTTACGTCACTATTCACCAAAATACGCTTCGGTTAAAATAAGGGGAATATACTATATGCTGAATCACAAACCAATCTTAGATTATGAAGAAATAGAATTTTACAAATTTCCAAGACGAATGTGTTCCTGTTGTGCACTTTCAATTTACTGATAAAATGTGTACGTGTACAGGTAGATTGACGATAAAGTTTCCTACTGACTACATTATTGGCATAGCTTAAAAGACGCCAGCTTTTCAACAATGATCAGTGGGCCTTCTTGTGTAAATATCTAAACAAGAAATACTGATGATGCCTTTCTCATAAAAATACGAGATTTGAAATCTTACTCTATGCCTCCAACAACTTCCAATTATTTGTTGAAGTCACTCTAGTCAGAAAATGAAACTCACCATTTACTCTTCAGTTGTGATACTTTACTCCAGAGAAAATATGTATGAGTATTCACTTTATAGAGCTAGTTGCATAAAACCTACATGAAAGTAATAGTTTCTTGGTTTCACAGTTCGATTCCTCTAACTAGAAAAGTTTATAAGTAAGAACTTCAGGCCGAAAAAATATCCCTCAGACAGATCCATGTCGTGCAGAAAATGAACAAAAATAGAAAGTTGAAATCGAGTATGACATTGTTCCAGGTATTTTTCGAAAAAAATGTTTTTAAAAACTTTCAGTAAGACGTTTCACTGTTATACCCCCAGTTACTTTCTTCAAACAAATTTTGATTAATATACGATACGGATAAATGGACACATGCGATCATTTCAACGGTTATATTACGTGTAAACTCATGAACACTATCCAGCACGCTAAGCAAAGAATCAAAATGCATTTTCATTACGATAACAAAGTACCTTGTCAAATCGGAACAGAGACATCACAATATCTAGACAGCAACAAAACAGTACCGATCCAGAAGTTCATATTTGTGCCATGGTCCAAGGGATCACAATAAACTGTTTTTCTTTTTCATAGCCCTTATAAAGAGTTCACTTAATCTTTTTTGTAAGTATTACGTAACTTTTGATGTTAGATAATTGGAAGCAATAGGCACAAGGCTTGTTCGACATAGGTTTCGTGCTAGTTGGCACTTACCAGTCAGCAAGGCGTATATCTGCAACTCTGAAGTAACTCATGTCTCTTCTGATAGAATTCAGTCTGCACTAAACAAAGGACTAGACACATCACACTAGTTACTAGTGTCCAATGAAAATTACGCAACTCTATTTCACCATTCAACTTACTTTTACCCTGACTCAAAATAATGCTAACGTGTACTGACTCCATCAAATTTATGTTCATAAATATACAGTTTAGTAAATGACTAGTTGTGAAAAATGACATTTTTAATCTTCTACAATTGTAAATCCTGGCATATTGTGAAAAAGAATAATGATCATAATAAGGCATAAACAGACAACTTGATGATATAACTCACCTCTTCTTGCATTACAGACTCTTGATCCAAATAACTAATGCAAACATCCAAAACATAGGCGATGGAGCGTTTGGTTTCACTTAAATGATCTGGTAGATGTCGTCCAAATGTGGTGAGACGTTTTTGTTGTCCTAAGAACAATAAATAAATAAGTTAATTAATTAATTCAGAGCAGTATTTATCATAATAGTAGTAGTTTAGAATTCCACTCAGGGTGAAAGTCATTGTAACTGAAGGGTTCTATACTTTCACACTGTAATCATCCACTAAAGACTAACCCACTACTGTTCGTTTTGTTTCTTCAATTCAACCTAAGGGCCAACTCACTCCTATACGCCGCCTAACTCTCGCCTGGAAAGAAGAGGCAAGGTTGGGTGTTAAAGGCTAGCAGCAACCTTACCAATGCTACTGAAACTTTAAGGTTTGAAGTCTGCTGTATTCCACTTAGAACATAAAGGAATAAGAAAACGGACCAAACAAATAAATGCAGTGTCAAATGTTACTAAAAAAACATGCAGTTAATTTATTCACACAAGTGATGACAATTGATTTCCACAAAATCAATTCACATAATTCATAAAGGTCACTCACCTAACATTTGTGTATATACAAACAGATACATTCAGCTCAACTAAACCACAAAGGTTTATGCATTAGGCCATTATAAGCCATATATATATATATATATATATATATATATATATATATATATATATATATATATATATATATATATATATATATATATACGAAGATTGGTAATACTGTGGATCGCACAAGACAAAACCCGTCACATAACACAATTTGTGTGGGCGAAAAATTGAATTTTTTATTATTTTTATTTTTGATTTACAGATTGATTCCACACTGTATTTTTGGTACAAGTATGGAATTTTCAGCATGGATATCGGTAGCCCAAATTTCGCAGGCCGACCATAGATATCAGGTGGGGTTCGGCAGGGGATCGAACCTCAAACCATGTGCATGGTCAGCGAGAGTCCTAACCACTGTGCCACCGACGCACAATATGCATCAGTATAATACTAAATTGATTGAATATCAGGTAAGTTAAGAAAGATGATACAGGATTTATGAACTTATAGATTCCATAGTAGATTAGGGTAGCAGCAATGGCTAGATCTGTATATACTAAGTTTTTGATTGGCTTTATTTGGTTGACAGAGAATAGTAGTAGCATCAAGAATTCATATTTCATCCTATCTCGGACTCGTCATCTGGACGTGCCTATATCCTACAGTGTTTGATGGTGTTCTCGCTGACACTCGAATCCAGTCGCCATTGTTTTAAACACTAAAGCGTTATCCTGGACAGCCAACATTTGTTCAGTGAATATTAGTTATTATTTGTCTGAAACGATTGGTATTTCTCGTTGGTTGACTAATATTTGACTGAAATGCTCGGGGTCTGGGTCTGCAGTGACATGTTAATCTTCAGACTTTATCGGAGCTTCCGAACTAGCAGACGATATTTCAACGGATACCCAGCATTTTGATATTTGCCTTCCTTCCTTCCTTCCTTCTACTGTTTACCGTCTACGAGAAGCCTAGCGACTAGTTAAGTGCTACAGCTTCAGAGTTATTTTATGCTGTAAATGTTAGAGCTAAGACATATCAGACACCTTTCCTCGTGTTACTTTTTGTTTGTTTTTTTCTCACTTTGTATCGTTCAACAAAGCAGTTCTATGCTTATCTGTGTACACGAAACAATTGTAAGCTAACCACAGACTGTCCAAAAGACACAGCTTGAACAAGACCTCAATTCGACAAAAAATAACAATAACTGTCTACTAGTTGATCACGGATTATCAGTTAGAGAACCATTGAAAACCAAGGAGTACCGGGCAGCTGTTTCATCCCGCTTTGGGAATCATCTGTCTGTCTGTTTTTGACATAGAACTTTCCACAGATGTGCGGCATTTCAAATCACCACACTCCATGTACTTGGGAATCATCAGGAGTACGCACCCGCTGGGGTTGGAACCCAGGACCTTTCGGTTACAGGCCAAGCTCGTACACCATTCAGTGACCCCAACCAATATCGTCGGTAAGACATCCATCCTCACACGTGACATCTGCATGAACCTCACTGATCACGACTTCTCACTAGAACTCCAGGAAGATTCATCCTGTACTGCCGATGATTCCCAAACTAGGATGAAACAGCTGTCTGGCAGTACTCCCTGGTTTTCAATGGTTTTCTAACTGATATCAATCCGTGATCAACTCGGAAAAAACAACTACAGAAAATAACTATTTAGGCAGGATTTTAGCTACAGTATTAGTCTTTACGAACACCTTAAAGGATATAAAATAAAACAAAAGTATTGTCTACTAACTGTACAAATTTAGTGTGAGGTTTAAATAGTCCCCTGACCTTTATACTCGAGTACTAAAATTTAGCTAAATGTCTATAAAAAGGCTGCAACCAGATAATTTCACATATGCTGTAATAATATACACACAAACACACACACACACACACATACAATCAGATATCGGAAACAAATTATACTCGTATAGACATTCATTTACTTTTCTGTTCAAAGTTGAATAAATATTTTGGATATTACACAAACACAGTTGTTTCAGCTTATTCAGTAATAACAATGGTTGAGAAAAAAATGTGTGGAAGTGTTACACTTTGGCAAAGTAAAATGCCTAAAACAATATTTATCCATACGACTTTTAAGAGATACTATGGTTGTATCAAAAAGGATATTATAATCGCTTGAAGATAATTAGAGAAATGAATGTAATTCAGCTTATTATTAATAACCTGCCGAACAATATATTTAACCATTCTATCTGCCGAGTGCTAAGTCGTACAATATGTTGAGGTTAAACCTAGAGTGCTGGTACGAGTCACTACCTTCCTCGTTGAGTAATGTCAGGTGATATACGATTAAGTTAAAAAAAAAAGTTAGTTAGAGAAGGGGAAAAATGTCTTTTCCAAACTTTTCTGAACTCTCAATAATAGTGATACGGCTTTTATAGGGTACGGTTGCTAGCCTAACTCCTAACCTCTTCTCTTTTACAGACCTACTAACAGTTAAAAGAGGTTTAGAAGTGTGCCAGCCAGAAACTGAACCCAAATCTCCTATGGGGGGTGACGAGCATTCCACGGCTGAACCACCTATGCACAGTGTGACGCATTAAGACATTGAGCCACAGAACCATGACACCAACAGAGGTTAGTGTGGACAGAACGCAATGTCCTGACCAGTAAACCATAGGCACCAAAGTAAGAAGTTATCCACGTCAACATTCTAGGATTCACTGATGCTATGACACTCTTTAAGGTTCGCGTAAATTTTTTCTGTCACCCCGCTTGACTGAGAATGATATGGTGCTATGTACTGAGAACTAACTTCATTTACTGAACAGTTTCGCTATCACTGTTATTATCATCACTATTATCATTATAAACTGTAAAAATTTTAATATTATGCAACTTTAATTCCAGTCACTGTGTATTTTCACGGTGACGTAACTGAACTCTAATCTGTACAATCTTAAATGTGAATTTCTTGCAATCTCACTTACGAACTTGATAAGTAGATTTGTTTTTACGTTTGTTTCGTTGTAGTTGACTCATTATGACATTTTGGTTCTATTTCTTCTTATTCTTCCTATTATTATTATTATTATTATTATGCATATATATTCTATAATTAACAAGTTATGTGAAGCATTAACCTAATTGATGAGTTTTGCTGACATTTGATGAACCCATCAAATCCAGCTGCAATAACATTCCTTGTCGACTTTAGGTGTATACAAAAGTCCACATGATTGTCTTTGGTTTACATGATCCCTGAACTCAATTCTGCCACATCAATTTCAGCTGTCTCCACAAGTGTCCATAAACTTTCATTTCCACAGCATATGGTCTCCTTTGTGTCACTCCCGGAAGCACGTGCAACATCGCTTCACTTCAAACTACACAACCTGGCGCGCAACGTCACTTGAATGTCGTCTCCACAGCCTTCATCCAGTCTAGTCCATCCATCTTTATTTCCTAATGCATGTTTGTGTGGGTGACAGGTTCCTGTCTAGTTCACAGTTATTTGTAGCTTCGTTATCCTTTCTGGACAACCATCTGATCCTCAGTATTGAGATAGTAAAGACAGCTGATGTGATGAAAGTCTGTTGTAACCCATTAGAAATCCTATCGTTGACGGGTGTGTGTGTGACAAGTCACCAAACCATATACAAGGCCTGACTTGACATTAGTGCTACGAATTCAGATGTTTTTCCTTGTGTTGATCTTCACAATGATTACAGAGCAATGAATACGCATTCTGCTAAACAGATCCGTGCCACTTGTAGTTGAAACGAAGCTTCTTTATTGGTACTGATACTCTTAGCGCAAGAGATTGCACGCGTAGCTCAGTAGCATAGTGGACAACGCTTGGAAGTTTGAAACGATGAGTGCTCGGTACGAGACTCAGCGGAAAGACCACCAATTACTGCTGGATACCAGTGCATCAAACCCACCGGTCCCAAATAGTAACTAGTATTCGCGCACCTTGGATTCGAGTATTAACCAATCACTAACTAAATAACACCATTTAAAAAACTCTTTTCGACTATGTGCTTGAGAATTCAGTGGCATCAGCAGAAAAATTATTGAAAGCCAGTAAGTAACGGAGAATTACTTCTCTACACCTTGAAATTCCTCAGTGGCAACTGGACAGACAGATATGTATGTGGTTCGTGGACTTCAGCATTCAACTTTTAATTAGATGTACGATATGTTCAGATAGCATTATATTTAAGCCCTGGAAGTCAATTAGTTAGTTAGTATGTTAGCCCTGAAAACACAAATTATAGCTTATAACGCAGTATGTAGGAGGACAGTATGTGAGTAGATGACAGAACTTATGGGAAATCGTGGAACTGGCGCTAAAAAGAGGACTTCGAAGAATAGGATGAAATGGAGACGTGCTGTTGAAGCTCTGTGTTCCACTCGGAACCCTAGGGAATAATAACAATATCACTAGTAGAAGTAGCAATATAATGAGATAGTTGACTATCTGAAAATTTCTCTGCTTTCCCGAACTTCACACACACACACATACACACTACACTGATTTCTATCACTTTAAACGTAATCATCAAAAAAGTAAAGACTTTTTGACTTACTGATAGTTTGAGACAAATCAGCGACCACTTTTTGGACTAATTGTAAACTTTCTGAGAGATAACTTTCTTGCAGTTGAAAATATTCAAGAATAAGATGTGAATGACTTTCCTCGTCAGCGGCAAATGTGTACAGATCACGAAGTAATTGTTCCTTTCACAATTAAACATTAAGAAAAACAGATAGTTAACTATCAAGTATTGGTTTGCAAGGATTTTGTTTCATTGGTTGGGGGATTTCATCATGAGCTGACATCAGTTAGAGAACCATTGGAAAATCAGCTGGGAGTATTGGACAGCCGTTTCGTCAGCCTAGTTTTGGACTCTTCATCAGTGCGCATACGCCACAGGGGTTCGAACCCAGGGCCTTTTGGTTACAAGGAGAGCTGGTAGACCATTTAGCCACTGGGACCCGATCCAATGGCTACTGCATGAATTCTAACTTCTGCCAATTCACGATATAGCGCGATCACCTCACAATGTATTTTTTGATGAGTAAGTTTCCTCACCTTCGACCTGCTGTACCCCACTGGTCACGGCCTCCCCCTAGAGCCCCAGGTCACTGTCTGAATAGGGCCAGTTGCTAGTGAGCATCAGATCAGATGGTTAATCAGTTAGTGAATTTTTTATTAGAATTATTCTTCTATGCGATAACTCCCAAGGTGGAATTTCATCGTCTGTAGCTTACTACAATCCCAAAACTGGATTGAAAATTTTTATGTAGTAATAACCGAAAACAATCGTATACTTCTTTGAATATCACTTTCCACCTATGGTAACAAGTTTTTGAATTTTGATTTCACGTAGTTGGAAGCAATCTTTAGGAAACCCTAGCAGACTCAGATGCTTGCTGATACTCGTCACAGCAGGGCGTCTCTCCAACCGTGGAGGAACTAATATCTCCTCGAAGATCCGAAACCGCCTAACTCAATGTTGCAGTTAGAGTTATTACCAATGGGCTATTAGGTCTCACGATGGACTTCCTGTAGAACTGTAATGGAAACATTGATTGTTCCCCAGGGGGTAACCAAAGTCAACAGTCTACTCCTTTGTGTTGGTGCTGACTAAATTTTTATCAATCAACTTTTCAATGTGGTTAATACTGACGAGCACTTTAGTTTGCTGCAAGGTTATGAGAAATCACAGAGTTCTTAATGTTATGAGAATGTATTAAACAGACGACGTCATTAGTTATCCTGACATATGACAGTCTCTGTCTGTCTGGATTCAACATAGAACTTGGCACCGAAGTGCACCAGTTCGAGTTGCCACGTTCCAAATAGCACACAGAGGTAGACAAGAAGATGAGTGAAGAGAATCAATAGAGTTTGACAAGTATAAGAGTGAAACAGAATGGGTAATGGTAGAAAGGAATATGAAAGATTACAGAGACTGAATACATCTGCGCTGGCCATTGACAACGATTTTGAGCCATGTCACCTATTGTCTCCAGCCATTGATTCCTAGAGTCCCGAGGGCCCCAACCCGGGAGTCTGCATCTCCCTACCTGACTCAGTTTAACTGTCAAGGATTTCATGGATTGATGCCATGCCATGTTTTTGTTTGGCCACCACTGGCTCTTTTCCAATCTGAACCTATATCAGCTAGCAATGCCCGTCAGGGGAGGCGGTGGTTAGGCATGCGCAGCACGTGAATAGCATGGATACAATTAAAATTCATGAAGTAACTAAGCACTACTTGTGATTACCCGTTGATTTTGTTGTACCGAAATGTTCACCTTCAGTGTAGAATACAAAGTCCTTGAATGGATCTATAGACATTGTCTCAATTGTTAACTTGGAGCAATACGTTCAGTGATAAATAGCAGTGGAGTCTACGGTGGTAGCCTCTTTCTACTGGGTATGCGTCAGCTGCATGTACCACCTCTTAGTTGATAGTATTGTCACTGAGATTCTAATTCATCACTCATCATTTTAAACACCAAGGCGTTTTATCCATTAGATTATTGGGTCAAGAGTCTTACAGAACAGTTGTAATTTGCTATTATTTCGATAACTTCAATTTACATGAAGTAGGTTGATACCGAAATATCTGTTAAATAACCTCATAGGTTAAAATAGAGCTAGTCAATTCAGTTTAGAAATATCAACAACAGGAAATTACAATTGTGTGCGTCGGTGGCACAGTGATTAGGACTCTCGCCGACCATTCACATAGTCCGGGGTTCGAATCCCTGCCGACGCACACCTGATATCTATGGTTGGCCTGCAAAATTTGGGCTACCGATATCCATGCTGAAAATTCCATACTTGTACCAAAAATACAGTGTGGAATCAAGCTGTAATCAAAAATAAACAAAAAAAATAAAATAAATACTACACCAAACTATTTGCCCAAAACCACTCTCGTAAGTCAGTAATGCGTTGATGTCGAGAACAATGCGTACTGAGTACAAATACAAGTAACAGCACCATCACACACTTCAATGCAGGTACATGTGGCTAACACGTCTATAGAAGCATACAACTGGCGTCTTCGATACCACTGGTAGCCACCAGTACACAAGTAACTTGAATTTATTGGGTGTTAGTTCAAATAGCGCATGAAAACCACAACTGCGATCTCAAAGATGGTAGGACACATTGAATAGTCAACGATGAACATAGAAATGCATCAGCTGAATGCTGAAGTTAAACAGCTATAATCACCATTTCCCCCCTCAACGCTGTTACTTTTCATTTCACCTATCTCAACTTTATTCAGTGTAATCGACAAATAACCACCAGCACCACACCAACTGCAATAGCAGGCGGAAGACAACTGTCTGTTGAAAATCAGAATAAATTAGAAAGAGGATTTCACAGCAGCATTGAGTTAAGGAACAGTTAATTTGATGTGAAGGTTTTTTTCTGTTACTGATTCAAAAAACACAATGTGCACTCTTGAAAGTAGAAATTATGGACTTTTTGAAACCACCAAAATAGGTTATGGTACAGCGTGAGCTACTGACAAGGATTTCCAGGTAGTATATTGCTAATGGATGATTATGCGCGAAATGAGACAAGGCTCTCTACTATCGACAAGGATCTGGACTTCGCCGATGATATATATCTGATTTCCCACAAACCGGAAGATATGCAAGTGAAAAGCAATAAGCTGGCAGAAGAAGCGTCAAATATAGGACTTCCTTCAGATGAACATAGAGAAAACAGAGGTGATGGAGATTCCTGGCCAACAACAACAGACAACAATCAGCCAGCATAAATGGGAGGAACCTGGAAGAAACAACCTCCTTTACCTGCTTACCTGAGAGGCATCGTTTCAACTACAGGCGGGCGGAACTGGCGAGGATATCAAAGCCAGAATCGGAAAAGCAAGACAAGCTCTCACTACTCTCAAGTCTGTGTGGAGGTCAACAGTACTCAGCATCAAAAATAACATCCGGATTTTTAACTCCAATGTGAATTTAGTACTACTCACCATACGGATCAGAGACTTGGCCAGCGCCTCATAAAGAGCACCTCAAACAAACTTCAGACCTTCATTAACACTTGTCTTCGCTCAATACCACTCAAGATCAGATGGCCGGCCAGAAAAGATCAGCAACAGGGATCTCCGGCAATGAGCGAACCAACCAGAAACCGATTGTGAAACAAATAGGCAGAAAGAAATAGAGATGGATTGGCCATACTCTGAGGAAACCGTCAAGTGACATCAGTAGACAAGCTGTCGAGTGGAACCCAAAAGGGTAGCAGTGTGTTGGGCATCCCAGGGTGACTTGGAGGAGGTCATATGAAGAGGAGATGAAAGCATGTGGGCAGGCTTGGAGCGGGGTGAAAAAGTTGGCAGAAAACAGAAGGCAATGGAGATGCGCAGCTGAAACCCTATGTTCATCTAGGAATTAAAGGATACAATAAAAATAATAATACTGCTAATGTCTTCTGCAAGAATCTTATCTTGAATAGCACAGCAATGCAGATAATTGTGAAGTGTTATGGAAAGCATGAAATTAAGGCGGAAAAAGGAGCAGAATGTAAATAAATTTTGCAAACTGACGTTTCAATGTAAAGCTTTGATATTTTGCTCACCGCTGTTCACCGTTTTGCCGAATAAATAATTCAGTTACCAAACACCACGGTGTCCTGCCGGAGTACTATTGTTTATCAGCGCAATTTCTTTCTTCAAATAACCTTTACACTTATTACCAAAGATGAACATTTCTGACTAATTTCCTCAACTTTATATAAAATAGCAAACAAAATTTAGAGGGTGTGAAAACACACAAAAACAACAAATAACGTTCAAGGCCAACCAGGAAAAACGATTAATAAACTCGTGGAGAAATCTAAAATTGAAGTATGCGCTGAAGATATCGCCTAGTAGGGCAATGAAAGCCTCGCGAATAAACCATCCAGCTCAGAGAACACAACTACATTAAAATCATGAACCTGAGCTACAAATCTTTTCCATCTTATCTAAAATTTAGAACAATTATCAAGAGGGAATATTATATGAAAATCTCACACAATACACACAAAACATACTTTGGAAGATTCTAGTTCACTCTCTTTTTCTTCCAATTGATGTTGAGCTTGACCAATTCTATTGACAGCATCTATTGTTACAGATGGATTGGAAGAGCCAGGGTAACCTAGTGTTGTATTGGTCTGAATACATTGCATTGTCTTTTGCAACTGTCCACGAGCACTACGCACTTCAGTCAGACATTTTTGCAGACTACGTTTATCTTTGGCAATATTAACGCAAGTTTCTTCTGCGAGACGATTCAATGGGTCAGCAACTTGACGTTCCACTCGATTCTCATGCTCCCGATGATATGAAGCTAAGACTGATAGAGCTTTACTGGCTTCACGGGTCACAGAACTGATAAAGAATCGGTTAGAAACAGAATATTCTGTTAGCATATAACGAACAATCGATACAATAAGAAAAATGATTTAGAATAGATTTCCAGAACTCTTTTTCGAATGTTGGCAAAACCACTGGAAGCTTGTGTTGAAAACTTCCCAATTGGAAATGAGAGGTGCTTTAAAAGACGAGAAATGTGGTAGAGATACTTCTTATTACTAACAGGATTGACCTGTTGATTAAAACTCTCAAAAAGGACATGATGCAGTCGGAAAAGTTGGAGAATACACACACTTAAAATAATGAAATTTGGGAAGATTGTCGGCCTAAATTCTTTTTGAAGCACACTTGGGTTGATAATAGATTTTCAGCTAGGTTTAATCTTACAAAAAAACAGGCATGAAAAACACCAAACAAGAGCCGAATCAACAGCAATATTCTTACTTCGACAACACATCTCCACTTTGTTCTATTCTCTGCTGTTGTCTTCAGCTGGTTCCGCGACTACCCATAACCTCACATCTCCTCCGTGTCACCCTTGGACAACACACTCTTTGCTTCCCATTGAGATTTCATTTGAGGGCCTAGCGCACGATATCATTCAACGGCGTTCTTAAGCGTTGATTGATTCTGTGGGGTAGGGTCTCTAGCCCCATGCCCAACCCCCCTCTCTACTCTGACTTGGGACCGGCTAGAAAATTAGCCAGCTAGTAAAATATGCGTGGTTCATACAGTTTTTGACAAAAACTAAAGAGGCCTATTATGGTGAAAGGAAAACAGATAACTAGCCATATTCCTCGCTTTATCACGAAATGAAAGTCAACTAGTTTTCATTTATAATCTTATACTGAAGTTTCCTGTGTCTACACAATACTATCTTTAGGATACGAATAAGAATAGGAAAGAGGTATAGACAGAATTTAAACGGCTGATTCTTATACGTGCTAATAGATACACCTACACTAATATAGGGGTCAGCGAAATAATAATCAGTAAAAAAGGGAACATATCAGAGGTTCTACTGAGATGTCTGAAAATGAAGGAGGCGGAAAGACTGATGCAGCCAATGAAAGGACCATACTCTTTCGGCCTACTTTCTCCACTTTTTAAACGAGGTACAGTTATTCAGCTACAAAGAATGAATGGTCAAAGTAAGATGGCAAAGACACAATAATACAAAATGTTATAAAGATGCGTATCGTACGAGTAATTAGATGTAAGTTATCCAGTCTAGCAACGAGATATTTCCATCACTCCTGATTAAGATGAGAAATCTCACATATTTCACTTGTACTGTGAAGCTAGTTTTAATCAAATACGGGTATTACATGAAACGTTAGATACTTGTTGCAGATATTTAGTTACACATCTGTATCAACACGCATTCACAATCTCTCTTATAGGGATTGAATGTACAACCGTTATGCTTTTGCGGCAAGTACCTTACTATTGACTAACTATTGGCTTACAATTTAATAACCCATAATATTTTCTAGCTTTGTTCTCTTCGCGATACAGCTCGCCTGCCTGCCTGATTGACTGTTTGCCTGTCTGCCGTCTAGCTATCATCCAGTATTAACGGGAAATCAGCTGAATTCAATCCCACAAATGTCTTCGTTTCGCTTGCATTAGGATGACAGAATAACGTCTGTATTCAATGTTGTAACAGTAGTAAATACTGTGTCCAAAACATCATCCAGTAAATAATACTTTACTGTATCACACTGTGTGCCATATCAAATGAATCAACTTACACTAAACAAAGCTCACTGAGAATCTTTCATGAGATTGGCCAAGTGTACTACTAATCTTTTTAAAAGATAACAACTAGTTAGAGAAAATGAGGGTAGTAGTCTTAAGATCTATACGAGATCCAACCAACTTCAGGATAATCATTACACACTCTTTAGTATATTATAACACTACAAAAACGATCGGTAAGTCAGGCTATTTCAGCCAATCGCACAGATGCACATAATGCTGAATTTGCAACATTTTCGAGTAGTGCTAGTATTATTATTATTATTATTATTATTATTATTATTATTATTATTATTATTAGTAGTAGTAGTAGTAGTAGTAGTGTTCTCCAATCGTCCATCGGTGTATAGAAGTCTTGAGGACAACATCTCACACCTAACCACTTCCATGTGCACATATCAGTTCACCTTTTGCTGTAGAGCCGGCCAGGTACAACGGCCGTTGGACGCATATCCTGTCTGAAAGGGTATCAGAACACTATCCCACAGTATGTCTGCAGAAAGGTAGTAGTGAGACAATCGAACACCTTGTCGACACTGGTCATTCCATCTCAACAAACGCCTCTTCCATCAAAGTAATACACACAGTTAAGAACAGCCTGTAAAAGGAAATAAACTTTCGTCCCCTTCCCATTGCTGAAGCCTTAGTCATTCTGGTAAAGAAACCGGAGATATTTTGCATGCAAAGGAAAATTATTCAACGACTTCTACTATCATGGTAACAACCTTACTGATTTATGCTGACTTGATGTTTGTGTGCTTGCTTTTCTAACTCCTTATGACTTTTTTATTTCTTTAAAACGCCTACATAATTCCATATTTTGCTTCCTTTCTACGTACATCCTGATCACAAATCACTCATTAAATTATTCATCCTACTAAGCAACTCTACTCTAATACACTTATTCAACTTTTATGGATTGACTAATATTAACAACTATGGTTGTGACAATTCATCACTTTTGTTACTACCCTCTTGCATGAAAAAATTCATGGATTAAATTTTGGTTTAGTGACTTGTATGTTCGAAGGTTAACTGTTAGGTTTATGTGGACAAGTGACATGGGGTGCTTACTGTAGTCCTCACGTGTACTCACTTAAGAACAGGATAGGAAAGCGTAACTTAGGCTAACAATTGTAATGCCTTTTTAAATTTTTCTTAATCAAAGTCGGTTAAAAGCTGACTACTACTATTCCAACATAATGAAACTACATTACAATAATATTTTCCAAGATTGTGGCTTTTCTTTTAACACCTATGATAGCATATTTTCTTTACCTTCAGTGCTGAGGTATGACTAACTTTAGTTGGAAAAATGCAGTGAATAACTTTGATGCAAGAACACTTGAACAGGACAACATGTAAGTAAGAAATGAGCACTCACACAAAAAGCCGATCGTCTGCATTCGATTTATCAACCGCTTCCTTTAAAACAGTTGACAACGACTGTTCCGGGTATTTCTTCTGAAAAAAGGAAGGATTACAATAGTAACTGATAATAATAATAATGGATAAAGAAAATAACAAATCTGTTGAATATACAATATACAATACACACATTAGATTAGCAAACCGATTACTTTAGTTGATAAGAAAACGGATGACTAGTTACTGAACTGCAATACATCAACTTTATCATCACTCAATAAGATCCTATTCTAAAGAAACATTTGGACACATGAAAATTGTTCATATACTCTATTCTACTTTCACTCTACTTTCATCTATAATAATAAATGTCATCTTTTTTTTTTTCAGATAAAGCAACATGACAACGATTGGATATCATTCTGTGAGCACCTACAATATGCTAAACGACTCTAACATGAAGTTTTCGGCTTTTAGTAACACTTATTGAAATATTACAGCAGTTGCAGGTTGAAATTATGCAAAAGTATTGTAACAGAGTAGGATAAACAAAATAATATTTGGGGAAATGCGAGACAACAATTTATGACCAATGAAACCACTTATGTTATCATAGGTCAGCTTAACATGGTATATCTTTAGTGATACGACCCCATGAAACACTATCTACGAATGAACTATGAATAAAATCACCTATTTAACTCAACTAATAGAAATACCAGCCACTTGAATGTATAAAAACTTAGTCCAAGCTTTTACAGTAATATAGGTGTCTACCTGCAGTCTGAGAAAGAACACCGAGCGGTATTTTGAAACACTATACAAACAAGGCAGAACTAAGGTAAAGAATTTCAGAGATAACGATGGATGAGTAGATTTAACTTGTAAATGACGCTTTTTAATATCCCAATGATCTCAGCTCAGCCAAACAGCCATTGTAATAAAAATTAAAAACTACATGAATCTAAACCACGCTATAATTAATCCACACCCAAATTTCTTCCATATAATCTAAATTCTGCCAAGATTGGTCTCAAGGCTCATCACGGTTTGATATCAGTCAGAGAACCATTGAAAATCAGGGAGTACTGAACACCTGTATCCCGTTATAATCACAAATTGGTAGAAGTTGGAATTCATGGCCATTGAGTAGGGTCCCCGAGGCTGAATGGTCTATGAGCTTGACTTGTAACCAGAAGGCCCTGGCTTCGAACTTCAGTGACTACGTACTCCCGATGAGTCCCAGACTAGAACGAAAGGGCTGTCCAGTACTCCCTGATTTCCAATCCTTCTCTAACAGATATCGACTTGTGGTCAAACCTTAAACAAATCAAATCCCTGCAAACTAATTCTTGACAACATTAGTCTGCTAAGAAGGTGGTGATTCAACATGGATAACACCAGAACCTAGGAAGATTCACAATCTCATCCACAGTTAGATCACTTCAAGTCTCACGTCGACATACTTTGTGCCTCCATCTCACGCTGACGACAAAAGGAAACTTCCATGGTCAGAAATCTAACTTTTTCGTTTTTTTTATTTCCAGTGGTCTTGTGTCACAGAGATACGATTAGCAAACAGTACATTTAAACACACACCGGCCAATAAGACGAGGAAAGCGCATCACGATTAAGGTAAGTGGTTATTACAGGAGTGATCTGATGCGAATAAGGGAAGTGTAAACATAACATACAATTAGTCAGTAAGGAAACTAACGCCCGTTTAGTATAATTAAAGGACACTAATCTTGCAGCGGCCTCATTCTGGAAACATTTCAATTTTGACAGATTTGTATATATATATATATATATATATATATATATATATATATATATATATAACCTAAGAACCTGTATGTAATCTATTATCACTCATTAGGCGTAAACAGCACTTCTTAATACAGTTTGTATGGATGCATGACATTACGAGGTGTATGCTGCAGATTGAATTTCACTCTCTCCTAGGCTATAGGCTTTGATCACATAATGCTTTTTCTAATAACCGAGTCCACTTGCAGTTTTAATAGCAGCCCTTTCCAACTTCTTTTTGTTAAACCATCATACACATTAAACCTTGTGAATGGTACACAGGACGAGTTTCAATATCGACCATTCTATATTTATTTTTAAAAACTGGTCCAATCTCAAGGATGTCTTAAACGAATTGTTGTCGCCATTACTTCGGTTCCATACACAAACTTGTACTAATCAATTCAGCGAAAATAACGTGAAATTGACTAATACAATCAAACCAACTGTTTGTAAGAAAATAAATCTCAATTTTCACACTAAATTACAACTACACGTTAAATAGCATTTATAGCCACGGTAGGTGGTGTGTAACAACGAAACACACTCAGACGACATACATCAAACTGGAAGCTTATAATATTAACTTGTTGTAGAAATAAGAGCTGGTACGTCAGACATATAAGGACAACTGATAAGCTGAAGTTTATGAAAGTGATAGAATACGTCACAACGACACGTACACTGCATTACTTTCGTGAGCACAGACGGATCATGGTGGTGCATAAATTTAAAAACTCTTCTCTTTGAGCGATCGAATCCCATCTCCATATTTTATGTGAAACGCCATAACGGATAAATACGTAACCAAGCTCTGGGATGTACACTGCACAGATACACTGTATTTGTCAGACAAATTAGTTTTCAAACCGACTAAACAACCATTTTTATGAATACTGAATTGACCTTACTATACTTTGAAATGGTTTAAAATCAGCAAATCTCTGAAGGTATCAGTAAAGCTATTAAAAGCATCGCCAGGTGCCAAAAATGCTTCAGTGATGAAACACAAAATGATTTTTAATTACAAAAAGCTAGTAATAGAACTGTAAGCAGTACTAGTTAGTACAATATGCTTGTAGTTATATATCAGAGGAGATAAAAACATTTAATTAGTTTTCTTTTACAGAAGAACAAATAAATCTAATTAGCTTTTCACCAGACGAAAGTATATGATACCTCCGTAAAACATATGAATATGACTACTACATAAAACAACCCTGAATTACGGTCTATTTAGAGGACGTTCCATTAGACTGCCTCACTTTTCTCATACACAAGGACTAGAATTAAATCAAGCTATTGGTTTCAGTCAGAGAATTCCACATGTAGCAATAGTAAATCGATATCGAGAACCTTGCCCGCGTAAACTCAAACTACAACAACACCACTAACCGTCATTACCACAATATTGATGAATTCGTACTTCACGGGAAATCATTTAACGATTTATTTCCCTAATACCTACGCCTAGAATGCTACTTAAGTGTAAGTTCCCATGTTAGCGAATAAAATAACCATTATGACTAAATAACTCGTGAGGACCCTCCAAACAGAAAAGTACCTCAAGAACCAAGGTCCCAATTTGGCGACTCTATGACATCTTAATAAAGTAAATTTACTTCTGTGTACACAGTATTCAGGGATCAATGAAATGACTTAACAGAAATAAAACTGCATGAAATAGATAACATACGTTTTTTTTACTAATAAGAACATGTTGTACCAAACCTCTATATGTTTCGCTTGCTACACGCCGTACATCTTCAACACAATGTTCCAGATGCTCTGCATATTTTGGCCAATCACTGGGTTGCTCTTCCTTTTTATCTCTAAAATTCCGGATAAGAGGTAGATATAACCACCGTTTACAAGGTAAAGCAGTAAAAAATCAATGCCCAGTCACTTGTTAGTGACCGATTGGAACTGTACGAAACAATTAAATTGATTCATACTCCCTGTGACGAAACTAGAGTCAGATCAAGATCCTTGCAGCACTAATTCGAATGGTAACCCACAGACACTGTAAAGGAAAGGCATTAAATGTACGGAAAACCGTAAAACAAAGTAACAGAAACAACTAAGACATGAAGTTTACTGAAAAAATATTAAACTTTGTGCGAAATGACTGAGTAACGCTTTATTCGTTTATAGCATCTATATGTGACACATAACCGTTTCACTAAGTTGTCTATGGAACATGATGCCAGTAGAGACTAACAGTAACAAACATAAGTTTCGACACAGCAATTATAGTTCAGGTTTGCAAAAGCAAAGCAGGGTGATTCATCTATATCACTGTTCAGCCATGCATTATCATCTGCTTTCTATAAATATGCACAAGCATTCATGGATACAGTCTCGATGACAATTACAATTAAATACAGAAAACTTATAAACAACCACGTGCATCTGCACATACACTTTTTATAATTCATAATAAAAACCCTTCGAGCGTATAAAAAACTTATTTTCTGAACAAGGCCTGTTGAGAAATTGGAATGTTTATGTCACTACCACTATTTAAGGTCACAAAATGGCTTTACAATGGAAGACCTCACTTTGACCATTTAAGCATGATAACAGTCTTTAGAACATTGCCAATTTGTACAACCTTGAAGAGGTGCAGATTAACAACCTGATTCCAAATACCTTAAGTCCCATCACCAAATGCCATGATGAAGTAATTCGAAAATTCCGTCTGCAATTCCCACTGCCCACCTCTGGTAAAGAAGGTCCCAGACGAGCTATTCGACAGCAAAAGAATATTTGGCCAAATTCGACCATCTTCTTGCATGATTTCGCTTACTATGAAGTGAGAAAACATTGAAATCTTTCATGCAATTTCTAAAGTGGCCCTATTATGAAGCGTGAAACGAATCATAATATTTTGGTAATTATTTGTCTGAATGAATTTGCCTTTGGTAACAAATAATAGGGCAACCGGATATATAACCTTGATTTAAACAGGTAGTATTCATTGCGACAGTTTCTTAGGATTGTACTACAGATACTCATTAGTTCTGTCATCTCCCGATGTTAATATTACTATTATTTGCTTAATGGGTTCCGAATGGAATATGGGTTTTCAGCAACAAATCTTCATTCCACTTGACTCACTGTTATCAGTTTCAGAAGGACTTACAATGCCCACAAACAGTCATTTCTTCTTCATGTTATCCCCCACTCCCTTTCATTGTCAGACTAACTCTCGACTCACTGCTTTTCATTCGAGTTCTACTGAAGAATTTGGCGTGTGATTTCACTCAACAACCTCTTCACGGTATATCTAATCCGTCTCCGTTCCCTTCAGCGTATGTGTTGGTTACCTGTAGCCCCTAGGCTTTTTGTTGCCGGTGTTCACTGATGCTTATCACTTCTAGCTGACTTTTCGATTTTTGGTATCCACCAGAGACAAGTGTTATCTGATATATTCGGTGTCTTACAGCAAAGGCTTTTGGTAACACACATCCAGTCTCCAAAACTAGTGTTCAAAATTTGTATCTCGTACGTTCAGCCGATTTCAGTGGGTCGCATACTGGTTCTCGAGTGACAAATACCGTTTCTCTATGTCTGGCTCGATCCAGTGCCACCTGCAACTGAAGGCAATGGCGTCTAGTGCTTGTTATTGTTGTTGGTGTTGGTAGTGGTGGTGATCAGAAATCTTCATTACTTCCGCCATGTTCAAGTAAAGTCCTGTTTTCTCTGCCTCTCCTCTAACTCCATCACTCTCGCCTGCAGTTCTTTGAGCTTGTGCGATGTTGGACATAGATCATCCGCGAAATCCATGCCTTTAATTGTCATTTGGAGGGCTCAATTTATACTAACCTTCTCACCCCCCCAGCGCCTGTTCTGCGGTCCAGTCTAGCACGGTTATCTGACACCATGAGACTATCTTTGAGACCACTCAGGATAATGCAGTTTAGAATTATTCTTTCCATACACATGTTTTTGCACCAGTCCACAGATCAGGTTCAGTTGCACTCCTCAAGCGCTTTGATAGGGGAGCTGATTTTCCGACAGGCAGGGACCTCCACTTTCTTCAGCACCTTCTGCAGCAGTGGTGTGATCGTGTCTACCGACGTATCTGGCTCCTTTCTTAGTCCTTCTGCAAATAGGAGGTGACCTAATCGACATAAATACCGAGAAGTGGCTTCAAAAGTAAAACACAATTGTTAATTACGTGGGACTCAGCGGCACAAAGGATAAAATGGTTAGAAATTTGATAAGGTAAAAACTGCTACCGAGTGAGAATAAAGGTAGTTGAGTGTCGATTTAACATGTGTGAAAAGGGTGTACAAGAGGAACATATGAGAGTGATAGTAGAGAATTAATTATTAAATTAAAAGCAAGCTAGCAGCTAAATTGAAAATTTTTGACAGGGAATCACTAGTGGAGAGGTTAAGACCACGGCTGAATAATAGAGTGGAAAAGCTTTTTCTGCATGCAGAGTTAGGTGTAGTATTGACGAATTGCCAACGCCTTAGCCATACACAATAGCCGGTGAGTCCATTTCATCTGTTGTCACAGATTCCTGGCGCTTGTGCAACTCGAGAAGCTGCAACGTCCCCAAACCTGGAGCGAATATTCCATGTTCCCACAGTTAATTTTGCTTTCACCGACAGAAGATACACCGACCGTGTTTCGTCTGAAAGACTTTACACATCATAGTCAACTGTACTCGAACTGATGGGCCCTTATGATTTCAGTTATGAAAAAATCACTTTCCCTTGCTTTGAATTGTCGCCTGTTTTAAACTGGACAGGGTTTCTGGGTCCACAATAAACTTTGCTCCGCATCCTGGTCTAGGAATAATTTCCGAACTAGTCAAAGTTTACATTGGCATTTGAATTCACTAAACGTTCCAAAAAGCGAAGCGCTGACAAGGCTAATGGAAATACTGGACCTATGCTTAAAGTAATCTCGATTATCACCTGTTCCTGGTCATCATTAACTTAGTTCTGTGCTCGTAATTGTCCGCCATTTAAGTGTCTATATGCTAGCTTTGGCAGGGCTGCTAGCCACGCAACAATTGCGAGCATTGCATCTATTTATAACCCCCTGGAAACGAGTCCAAAATCATCGAAGCAACCAAAATAACTGGCCTCCTAGACTGGCTTCAGCAACTTAATCTCATTCTCCCATATAAACCTCTCAGAGGACTGTTGCATTTCAATCTTCTTTTCGCCATTTGAACTTATGTAGCGATGCGTCACATCTCAGCTATGTGCTTTGTCACACGAAGTCTTGTTCTAGCTTCTTCACTGACTTCTTCACTATTTCCTTATATTTCCAACTCTTCTCTTAAAGTCCCTCTTTCTTATCGTCCCTTAATCTCATCACATCTCCATTAAAACGCATTGTATTTACCTCCTTTACAATCTACCACTCAGTGATTGGTCCACTTGTTTTTCTTAGCTTTTATCGACTATTTCTACCCGGACATGTGTCTGTTTAGTCATGCTGTTTTCGTTATTCTTCCTATCGCAGATCGCCTCACATTTTTATTCATATTATCGACGAAACCATCATTATTATCATCACAGATAATTGCACAACTTATATGCACGGTATTATCATTCTATAGACAAAACACCATGATTGGTTCATTTTTGAATATTCATTTCTGAAGTTGTACATATATATATATATATATTAGAGTTAAGCATGATGATATCTCACTGAAAACGGTAAAGTTCGCTTAAATGTGTAGTTATAAATTTTACTATGGGAATATTTCATATTTTGAAATATAAGCAGGTCCGGAATATCGTGCCAAAAGAGGCTGTAGGAAGCACGAAAACATGATGATCCACTCCTCTTCTAAACAAATATCTCTTCTGAAACTGAGCTGACATAGTTCGCCGACACCTAGAAATATCGCTTGTCAGCCAACTCCCATAAACTGTCAGTTCTTGCTACGCTGAATCTCACGCTGTCCCTCGAAGACTTTCAGAAACACTTTGCATTAACCAACGCGAAAACCAGAACACTGATTGGCGACTTGACAATCCTTTACTCTTACGCCAACATGTAACCAACAATGAGGTTATTATACACAATGTCTAAGAATAAATGTTATAACGATAAATCACGATATTACTTCTGATAGTTTTCTCTCTTCCAACGAACAGCGAACGATGATACGATGACTGATGGATGGATGGATGACTCTCGCGAAAAATATGGAGGAGTTAGGTTTTGGCAAACAACCATGAATTGAACGTTCAATCTTCGACTACATTGACATCGCTTCTAACCCATTTGAATTACGCAGCTCACTGTCGAATCAATATGCACAAAAACAGAAACAGCTAGATTTATAATAATAATTTAGCACAAATATCGAATCACAAGAACAGTCAAAACCTATCAGCAATTCATTGCAGTGTTCTAGGGAGCCAGTCAGCTACACTGCTTGAACGACTTCGAGCTCCCTTCCAGTTGACTTCAAACAGAAATGATGGGTGCAAATGTTTTGTGGCTGTTTGCCCTGCTAAACATATTATTTGACCTTTACGAATTTGACCGCGGATGGATATCAGCTAGCGAACCATCGAAAACCAGGTAGTACTGGACAGCTGTTTCATCCTGTTTTGGGAATCATTGACAGTGCGCAACCACTGGGGTTCGGATCTAGGACCTTCTAGTTACAAGTCAAGCTCGTAGACCATTCAGCCACTGGGACTCGATTCGGTTGCCAGTGCATGAGTTCTAACTCCTATTAGTACGAGGATTTTAGCCTGAGACGGGACCACCCTCCTCTATCAGAAGCTGTAACTCTCACGGGGTGTTCTAACCACAGTAATCACAAATATACAGAATGTGGTTTAGTAGCAAATGGGATCTAGTAGAGGTGTTTCTACGAAGTAGCAGAATCTTTAGCTTACGCTCACCCGCACTACCTCGGCTCAAACAAATTTTACAACAACAAACGTGTTCATCAACCTATTTGCCGGAGTTTGTACGCTCATAGTACCTCAACAGGAACAAATTCTATCATTTCAGATCATCCCACCCATGAACAACACCGGGAAATTTGGTCTGCATCAAATTGCAAATGTAACTTCGTCGCAACATGCTTCTGATTTGAATAGAGCGGCATGGGAGCTTTAGGTAACGCGAGGAATCTCGTTGGTCCATTTGATGTCTTTTTCGCTTGGCCGAGACCCTTCGGAGGAGCAAGTTGACTTAAACAGCGAGGTTTAACATCCGATGTTCAGTAATGAATGCTGTGGTTAATGAATCTGCGGAATTATCTACTGCTTCGTCTCACTCCCCTTTTACTGAGATTACGATGACCCTAAGACGAAACCAGCCGGAAGTAAAAAGCCAATGGTGTCACCACTAGTAAAACTCACCCGACCCGCTTGATGTATTGCCTGCTGGTCGTCTGCGCATGCTATTTTGGTGCATGTACATCAAATTGTTGATGTTCGTCTGTTCAATCCTATGCTTCGCTAGGTTCTTGTCCAATGACCGTCGTACCTGAAAAAGAGAACAAGAGTGCTGAGAGCTTTGCCGAAGAAGACGTGCCAGAAATAACGTTTAAACTACGGTATACATCCATTTTACAGACAAATATTACGAAAAATAGAACATCGAGAGAACATTTGATTTTTCTGTAGTGGATGTAACGTGTATGGTTATAAAAGTGTTTTATAATCATGATGCGGGATTCAGTGGAACATAATTCATGATAATAAAAATTTATAGTTCATAGAAACGGATAAGATTACAAGAAATTCATGCCATTTTTACAGGTACGATCAGTTAATTTATAAATT